GTGATGGGGTGTGGGTGTTGAAGCCCCATGGCTGGCATGAGTAGGTGGCAGGCCTGACAGAGGTGGGCCAGACGTGCACCAGGTGAAGGTCTGAGTGAGGGGCAAAGGGTTCAGGCAGGGGTGCAGACCTCTGAGCTGGGCGGAGTCAGCAGATGCCCTGGGGTTGTTGAGACCCTGGCTCCCCCAGTGCGGCACACTTCCTTGCAGGGCTGGGGAGCTGAGGTGCCCCCCTTCTGCAGGGCCTCTATGACCCTGTCCAAGTGGGTGGTGTGGGTCAGGTGAAGAGCCACCAGACCCCAAGGATGGCCAGGTTTCCAGCCTTGGGGCAGGCCTGCGGCTGGAAGCTCTGTCTCAGCATGGCCGGCACCAGGTGGGAGCCAGGAGTTTGGCATCCTGGGCTATATGAGAAGCCTTTGAGGCCCTGGTCACAGACCCGTGGATGCTAAGTGAACCTTAGACATCATCAGTGCCTGGAGAGCCTGCCCCCCATGGGTAGGGACACAGGCCTGGGGGTGCATGGTTCTCACCCAGCAGCTCACTCAGCAAGACCGAAGTCAGGCCGATCTCCATCCCCCAGGGTCCCCTCAGGTCACAAGCATTGCCCCTACGCCTCAACAGAGAGGACATGGCACTGATCTGGGGAAGCAGGTGTGGGCCTGTCCGGGGAGGGGGGTGCTCACAGGCTAGTGGTCAGAGGGGAGCTGGGCACAGAGTGGGAGGTTGAGGAGGCTTCCAGGAGATGGCAGTGCCTCGGGAGAGCCCTGAAGGAAGAAGAAGAAGCTGAGTCAGCCAGGGGACAAGGGGGGATGTGGTCAGAGGGAATGGCCAAGGTGAAGGCCTGGAGGCAGGAGAGGGCGCTGTGTTGAGTCCCCAGCAGCTTCATCCCAGCTGGCGTGTGTGGGCGGGCCGCCCACCGGGGCTGCGGTTGGGGGGGACCTGCAAGCCCTGATGAGCTCCAGCTGCTGGGGGAGATGGGACCCAGGCAGGGAGCCCCAGCCCAGCAGCCGGGTATGACCTGTAGGAAGAGCCAGGTGCAGTGCTCAGGAGCTGCCAGCTTATCCTGGTGGGTTCCCTGGAGGAGGCAACCCAGCACAAGCCTTGGTCTGTGGGTCAGAAGGCAATAGAGGTGGGAGGTTGGCACTCTGGACGTGTGAAGCGTGATTTAGCAGCAGTTGTACCTGGCATTGGTGCTTTCAGGAGCCCAAAGGCCCAGCTGAGGAGTTTTGAGGGGCTCCTAGAAGCCTCTGCCTACAGAGACACCTTGCCCACTCCCTGTTCCTTCACTGGGGCTAGGTACACCGACCCTGGCTTCTTTGTGCTGTGTGGGAGGACAGATAAGAGGCCTTCCCACTGCTGTGTGAATTAGCCCATGAAACCCCAGGGGACCCTGATGCCCACAGTCCTATAATAACACCTGCTTCACAGACCTGCATGAGGCATCCAGAATGCCGAGAAGGCCCAGGCTCAGTGGGAGGGCACATAGGCTGCACTCTCCACGCAGTCTTTGTTACTGTCCCTTGATCTCCCATGAGGCCTGTATCCCTGTTGTCTCTCTGAACAGCACGTGGGGTGAAGATGTGTGCCTACTTCACAGGGGAGGCACTTCGGTCCTAAGTGGCCAGCAGTGGCCTCAGCTGTCTAGTTCCCCCTCATGGGGCTGGGCTGGACCAGCAGGGAGCTCTGCAGGGAGCAGGACGGCAGGAGAGCGGCAGGCTGAGCCTCCTCCCAGGCTCTGACACACTGGGGCCCCAGGGGTGGTCCCCTGGGGGGCGTTGTGAGTTGGGTGGGGGCCAGGCTACTCCCCTCTGGCAGCTGGTGACAGGAGCCAGGCTGCCTTCTCTTAGTGACCACCTGGGACACCAGGGTAAGGCTGTGGCCCCACACAGGGTCTGAAGTTGGAATGAGGCAGCTCTCAGGGCGGGGTTGTAGGGAGCTGGGGTTCCCCGTCTTAGTGTGGCTGGATGGGGGAACTC